CTAACAACATTTTGTACATTAGTCATTCTCAAAATGCTGTAGCATTCTGACGGCATTCTGTTACATTAGTCATACCTTGTGACTGGAGGTTGCTATGCATAGCCTCACCGTCTCGTAAGCTTAACTTTCGTTACATAACTCATTTATTTCCATAAAACACTATTTACTTTTTACACATAAAGTTCAACAGCGTTTTCAAAACACGTGATGCATCCACAACCTACTTGCCCACACTCCGCTGCTACATCCTCTCTGCATGCCAAGCAATAAGTTTCAGGGAGCCGGTGCCTTACCCGTGCTTCCTACAACACGAACAAACTTAATAAGCTTTCGTTCAGCAAGTATCAATAGGTCATAAACAGATGCAATAATTATGCATACCCATATATGCATTCATGTCATATATCATAATACATTCCGTACTACTAAAACATGTATGGCTTATGTTCTTCTTCTTTCATTACATTCTTTGTTCTGCTTTCGTCTTATTTTAGTCATTCACATTGTGTTTTCACATTCTGAATGACTTTCATTTCGTGTTTCTCATTCTTTTCATTCTTCTTTATAGATACTAAACGTTTATGTGGAATGGTTTATGTGTTTCATTTTCTCGTCTTTTACTTCTTATGGGCCCTGTCCTGTTGTACCATAGCGCGCATAACCACTGAGGAGTAGGGTAGCTAACCAATCCAACTCAGTCACAATTTCATATCTTTCATAGTCTCATAATAACTTTTTCTTCGAAGGCTGATACAAACAGGACGTTTAGTCTCTTACCGTTTATCAATTTTCTCATTGAAACGATAACTTTAGTTAAATCTTATAAATTTGTGCATTATTGAGCATTTTATCATGAGATTAACTTTTCGTTAAAGTTTAACTTTTCATTTCTCTTAGTTTGATCTCGACTTAACATCGATACATACTTTTTACAAAATAAAGTTCTACGATTACGTAAGTCTTGTAGATACATACTTAACATAGTATCTAACATTCACATTGTATCTAACATTCAAAATTCTATTATATGCACAATTTTTGTGCAACATAGAAAAGTAAGCTTGTTCGTGATATAGCCATAGAAAAACTATTGTACTTACCGAAGTTTCGCTAACAACGCGTCCTTTGTCTCCCTTGATGCTTTCTGACTTCAACCGTTAATCAGCCCTATTGCATAAATTTTTCGATCGTTAGATTTAGAATCTAAGATGAATAATTACATTGAAATTTACTTCGGAGAGGTCTACAATCCTTATGTTTGATATTCAACCTCAAACCATTTCCTATCTCAAGGATTTGTACTAAAACCGTGCAAGTTACTTAGTTATGGGCCTAATTCTCAGTTTCGGTTGAAAACTATGAATTCTCGTTGTGTTCGATTTTCTAACCATCACCGATTATCGAAACATCTTTCTTTTCACACTTTAATCCCATATTCCTCTTGAAATTCATTCAAATTACTCAAACTAAATTTCGGCAGAGTTTCGCCTTATTTTTCTCATTTCCCGAGGTTTCAATAACTCATTCTAATTCTGATTTCGGTACCTGGAGTCAAGATTCATATTCCTGAACACAAATTCCAACATAAAATTGAACAAAAACACATTTTCTCCATTTCTAGGGTTTTCGGATTTCTTAGTGTAAATCCAAAAATTTTTGTTCAATCATTTCCATAATTGCACGTTGAACTCCTATCGTAGTCCCCGACAAAACTTCGGTTTCATTTTTCAGTTTTACGGATTTTTTCCGAGATGAGTTACTATTCATCAAAACGAAAAAGCAAGCAGTTTCTCATGAAAAATTTGAAATCTTAGCTCGAAAAGTTGAGATTTTCTGCTAAAATGCCTCGGATTATGTTTTTACCAGATTGAGTGGAAGAAATTTTGGTGAAATCGGGTGATTCCTTGATTTTCTCTTGATTTTCTCTCTTTTTCCTCTTTTCCCTCTTCTCTTGGCCACACTTAGGAAAATAAACCCATTTGGCCTCTAATGTCTCCCGTAGGTCCTTTTTAGAACAATTGGAATATTATATTAATATTTCTAATAATATATCCTTTTAACTTTCTAAATTAAATTAAAGAAATTACTTTAATTTCCATAATTTAATTTTACTAATTCTACTTAAGTTTAACACGTAACTTGAGTGGTTCTATGTTCCCCACATATTTCTTGTCGAGACCAAACTTTCTGTTTCTCGAAACGAGTCTCTTTCTGGTATTGATAACTTCACAACCAGTACAGGTTCTATACTGCTTTTCTGGACTGTCGAGCACCCTGGGTCAAACTTCTCATGTTCAACCCAATTCTCTTGGGTATCTCATTAGTCAATTTCTTTTCCTGAAATTATCTTTTAATTGATTCAGAATTGCTCAAAATGCGTACCCTCGTGGTACTCATTTTTTTGAGCAGTTTCCCGCTTTAACTGACTCGGAAAAATTCTGTTTCAGTAACTTTTACTATTTTCCTTACTTCTAATATTTTTACTCTTTTTCTAATTGGTCATTTGGTCACAAACTAAATATTTCAGTTTTTCATAACTAAAATATATCTGCTAAAATTTCTAACTTTTAACTGATATTTCACTATTCATAACTGATATTTACGAATTTTCTTTATAAAAAAATTCGTATTATAACTTTACACTTTTCGGGAGATTTTACCCCGTACATAAAGTTTCTACATAACATTTCTTTGATTAAGCAGGAAATTCTACTACTTTCCGTTCCGGAAGAAATTATGGTCAAAATGCCGAACTGTCCAGATTAGACCTGAAATTTTCCCGGTCGTTACAGGCCCAGTCTGGGTTTCAAGTCCTGCCCCAAGGATACACTCTCTATATCCTATCTAGGCCATCAGCTGGTTTACCGATTTACAAGATCTATTATCTTAAAAAATCATTCATTAAACTTTCTAAAATAGTTCATTTTAATTCCAATAGCTAAAATCAAGCTATAGTGTTAAAATGTTTTTCTTTCGCAAACTTGCCCCCTTTCTCTAAAACATTTGCAAGGCCAAAACTTTTTTGAAGACATGCTGTCAAAGGAAGGGATAAGGAATCGTACCTTTCAAGCACCAAACTTGTGATTAGAGTTGTACTATTCCAACTTTTGTTTCCTCAAAGCCTTCAATTTGACTCTTCAGCTAGCATTGATACAAAACAACACTTTAGGATCTAATTCTCATTCCTAAAGCAATTCAATCTCAATTATACACCTAGATTTCCTATTAGTGCGCCTTAATTCAATTACCAGTTTCATAAATCATCATATGTTTCAAATCATCATTTCTAAGGGTTTTAATCTCAAAACATGGATTAAAGTTGCTAATCCATTTATTCCAAGTCCCCAAATAGAGCTAATTTGGGTTGTTATGAAACTGAGGTAAAAACAAAGTTTTTAAGCAAAACAGGGTCAAACCCCGTGTACACCGGTCTGCCGGTGACAGAGAGGTTACTCTCCACTTGTCGGCCAATCGAGAAGGAACCGGTCGACCGGTGGAAGCAGTGCAGGATGGCCGACATGACCGATCCGAAGAAAATCAGAACAAAACCTGCAAATCCGAGTTCAAATCTGAAATATTTCAAGGGGAAACACCAAATCTAGGTTCTAGTTACTAAATCAAGTGCAAAGAACCAAAGATCCCCAATTTTCACCATGATTTTACTCAAAATCCATCAAAATCCATTTCGAGTTAAAAAAACTAGATTTTCTAACAGTAGAATCCGAGATTCAAGAGAAGTTTTTCAGAAATCTTACTTCAAATCCTTCTCTTGACATTGAAAACTCTTTGAAATTCTCTTTTGCTTCAAGATTTGGTTGGTTTTGTGACAAAAACGAGAGGAGAGAGAGAGAGGGTGAGAGAACAAGAGTGAGAGAGAGGGAGAGTGAGGGTGCTGCACGGAAAAAGAAAGAAAAGGAAGAAAAAGAAGAAAAAAAAAAGAAAAATAGGTGTCTAAATATTTAAAATAATAGTCTAAAAATGTATTTACACACACTTCTAAAGTAAAAATATAAATACTAAAAACATTTAAATCTCTTAAAAATATTAAAATTTTTCATATATAAAGCATTCATTAAACAATAATTATTTAATTATATTATATTCGACACACTAATAAATTTTAATTATCTTAATTAATCATGTTAAATTCTTGGAGCGTGACACAACTATACTTACTAAAAATAAAGGTCATCATCACATTCCATGCAAAGAAAAGAGAGACAGAGATAAGAGCAAGCAAGTGATGGGGAAAGAGTGACATCATGAAAGAAGCGTGGAAGTGATGCATCTCCGAGGAAGGATTGGAAAGCTGGTGTTTTTCCGACTTTTTTGAGGAACATAAACTTGTAAATAAAAAAGTGTAATCATGATCCACAGTGTAGTGATATTAGGTATTACACCAAAATATAATAAAATAATGAATTCAATATAATATATAAATATTTAAAAAAAAAAAGTAACACGCGCAATGCTTACTTTGACGAGCGAATGAAGGGAATTTCCGCTATCAAAAGATCAAGTAGATTACCTCAAAATAATTAATTTTCTCCCCACTCAAAGTCCTAATACATCCAAAGTACCCTCAAAAGGTGAACTAATTAAGAAGAAGAAGAAATGTCTGCACAAAGTTTGCTACAGTGAGCAGCTTGCTGTGCTCAAATTGAGCTATGTACGGCCATTTTCAACATCACGTATAGCACTTTGCTCGTGGAGAAACTACAAAGTTACGTCTATTTTTGTATATTAAATGCACATTATTAGATTGACAATACGTTAATTCGATGCAAAACAAAAACGGGTCAGCTCATGTCTACACTTACATAATGAAAATTACAAATACATACGATTGGCCCTTTCTACTGATCCAAAATACTTGTAATAGTTGCAGGGTTAGCCAAGCAAAAATTATATACCTAATTCAAATACTCAAGTCCTGTACTTGCATTCAGAATCTAGCTAGTTTCCTTCAATATCCTCAAGCAACTACAGATTTCCGTTTGTTAGATCGCGTTGAAATATTTCTTTAAGCACTCGTCTTCTTTATACAAGCATACAACTTTGTATACTTCAATTAAGAGCAATGGGAATCGCCTTGTAAAATAGTCATCGATTCCTTCATATAGCGATCCAACAAGATTCTGAAATGACCAATACCAAATTAAGTGACGATTACGCTTGAAAAACTAAAATGTATGTTAAGATATGTATCACATTTCTATACTAGACAATCACCTGAATAACATTCGGGAGTTCTTGATAATGATTTAAAATGTATCCAATCAAGCGCAACAAGTCTCGAACACTGCTAAACTCATAAGCCCCGTTTGCACCAGTGAAAATGTACATGATTATCTCGGCATGCACTTTTTTGTTCCATCCCAAAATCACGTTTATCCAACACATCTTTTCTGTACCTAAACTTGTGTCAGCGGTAGATTCGAGCGCTTCAAAAAGATTATTGTTCTTGCTTACTCTATCACTAGTGTCGCGGAAGAAAGAAAGTCTCTTCTCAGCATTCCAGAATAGTGGATGGTGCAACACCTCAATTGCTTTTGGCCTGCAAAGAATAACATGTTTTATTTTTATCAAGGAATCAAGGATTCAAGATAAATGTTGAGCTTCATTCTTCTCAAGGAAGACTTTTAAACCTACAGATACACTGTTCTTCAATCCACTGGAATATAACTTTTAAATCTAATGGATAAGTAAGTATTAATTATTTTCAAAAGGTATGATGTATAACCCTTGTTGAAGGAAATTAACATTATCTCACCTCAAGTTATGATCAGCTTTTAATAAAAGAGAGATTAGATGAAAAGCTTCGGGGAAATCTTGTACCAAATACAGGTCCTGTGCATCGTCGTTCCTAATATTCCTATTACGTTCATCATGGTCTCCAAATGGATGCCTACCATGCGTGATGCAAAAAAAGAGAAGGCATCCTAAACTAAACAAATCCATTGCAAGTGTTTGGCGTTCAAAAAGAAGCCATTCTTTCGCTTTCCAACCCGTAGTACCGCAACCTGTAGTTGATTTTGAAAAAAGCATGCATAAGACTAACATTCAAGGGAGTTAAAAGCAATAAAAATTAGGTTAATAAAAAATGTCAGGAAACATAAATTCATAGTAGGTTCTAGCTGCAATATGCTCACTTGGGGTTTTCAAACAGGAAATGCATATTTCTAGGGACAAGACATGATTAATCAGGTCCTCAGTACGTGTTTAATGTGATTTGCAGAATAGTTATGCTTAATTGTTGAGATCATCACGCGCTTAACCCGATATTTTTCGGAACTGCATGATTAATTGGTGACATTGTTGTTCTGACATGTTTTCGGAACTGCATGATTAGTTTGATGGAAACAATGCTTATCTCATTAACTACATCGTGGGAAGTCCTTAATTTCTTTAGACTATATAGTGCTACTATAGAATTGGTTAGAATAATCAAAACCTGAATAAGAGAATTAATTTGATGATCGACTAATATTGCAAATGTGTATACATGTGGGACATATAAAATAGTGAAAGTGAGATTACTTACGTGAGAAGTGGTTGCTTAAGGACGCCTTATTATCACGAAGTTTTCTGCTAATACCCATGTCAGAAATTTTTGCACATAAAGTTGAGCTTTCTTTAATTATTAAAATGTTCTGAGGCTTCAAGTCTCGGTGAATTATTCCCATGTCGTGCACAACAACAAGCCCAGAAACCATATCCCTGTATGAATCAATATATATATATATATATATATATAAGGTCAGGTATTCCATTAGCATGATATTTAATCCAAAAAGATTCAAAGTTCTTTAGAGATGATTAAAGGAACTTTTAACTAACCTCATCAATTTCAATAATAAAGGTGACGGACGGCCATTATTTTCTTTCCAAAGTTGAACATCTCCTAAATTATTCCTTAATTTCTCCAAGTTGCTTGATATAGTCATATTTTGAGAGGAATCCGGGGAATATAGTTGGATGAGGTCATTCAAATCGCAGTCACAAAGTTCCAAAGCAAGATAAAGAAAGTCTCTATCACGTCCCTCCCCATAAAACCTTACAACATTTTGGTGTTGTTGAAATGCTTTCAAATTCGCGATTTCTTGGTTAGCTAGTATAATATGACTCCTGAGAATGCGTTTCACAGCAACTACTCTATCTTTATAAGACCCCTTATAGATAGCAGTGCCAGAGCCACTTATATTAATTACCTTCAATAAGAAAACCACTAATTTTTCGCCTATCTCCAGCTGATCATTTGCATCACATGAAACTTCTGAGCTAGAAATAGTTATTTCTCCTCTCTGTTTATTTACATTATTACATAACATATTTGTCAGATATAAATTGAGAAATGAAAATATAGATCACTTTAAAAAAAATAAAAATCTCACTGTTTACAACGAAAATCATTAGCACGAAAAAAAATAGACTTTTAGTCACAAAAGACGAATTTGCCAACACTTAGTGAATTAGACTATATCATAAAAACATTAATCACAAAAAGCTCATGTTATTCATAAATGAGAAGCTGAGAGCCTACGTATATCTTGACACCTCTTAGAGATTCCCACCAGAACAACTAATATATGAGTACCAAATACCAATTGCCAAATCAAGAGAAACATGGAGAAAATGAAAGCATGATGCGACAAAAATATTATTGGCAATGCAACATTAAAAAAATGAAAAAAAATATATATATAGAGTGCGTGAACATTTTAAAGATAACGTTCGCACATACTGGGACATGTGTCGAGGTATCAGATTCTTGCGACTCTTCCATGTAGATATGCTTAGTACGAATTTAGCTGAAAAGTCCAAACTGAGAAGCGCGTATTATCTCATTAAATGTGTTTATGACTTATCAGAGAGAGGGAGAGGGAGAGAAAGAGAGAGAGAGAGCGAGAGCTGGAGGGACGTTTCTGAGGATAAGTTTGTGGGTTTTGTACTTGAAAGTCGCATCAAAATCAACGAACTTTTTTTTTTTTTTAATCTCTGTCTCTGTTTTGTTTTTTTGTTGTCCTTTGTTTCCTTCCTCCTAAAAGCGCGAATCCTTTGTCATTTGGCAACGAAAGGACCAAAAGAAAAAAAAAAAAAATCATGCTTTTAAAAAGGTAAGAGAAGAAAATAACACTAGTTTGAAAGGAGAGTTTTCCCATTTATTTATTTATTGTTTTTTATGAATATTTTAATGTGGTTTTGAATTGTTTTCAGTTGTTTCTACAAAAACGTTTTTGTACTCTTTGAGGTCGAAAAATAAAAACAATTTGGAGACGGCTTTTGGTTAATAAATACTTTGAAAATGAGAATAAAAATAAATATGATGAAAATTTTTTTATTTAAAAAGTAGAAAATAATTACAAGTTGTTTTCTCATTTTTATTTTCATTTTATAAACTATAACTTAACATATGTTCCGACCCGTTGATCATGTCATTCAAATTATACTGATAGTGTTTGTTGATGTTCGACGTCAAGTTTTCTTATATTTTGAAGCCATTTGCGTTAGTATTAGTGTTTCTATTTATCTAATTTGCAATGCAATTTTGCTTTTAAAAATTTCTATCACACATTTAAAAGTTCAAGAGGACCCGTACCACTATTGAAAAAGAAGACAAATACCCTTTAAACAGTACCCTTTAATATTTGGGTCACAAACATTAGCCCATGGTCAAAAGGTTAGTGTGTGAGTAATAAGTGAAAGAGATAGTTTGTACTAAAAAGGGTAAAAATCTGCCATTTGCTCTCGCACTATTCACCAAAAAATTCATTCTAATAAAGCGAGTCTCACATTTTGCACGGAAGGTCCGTAATCTTTAGGAATGTCATAAAAAAATAAATAAAACTTTGGGTAATTAGCACGGAAAGTCTGTAATCTCTTTAATAGGTGACAGTTTGATCTTTATTTCTTTTTTTTATTTACAAAATGACCCCGACGTCATTAAATTAGTTCAATTAAGTCATTTCCATCAAGACCCATCAAATTAACCACGTTAACCCCTGAAAAGTTGAAATTGCGCTAAACTCATTTTTACAAAATAATTCTAAAAAAAAAACAACAAAACCAATAAAAAAAAAAGAGAACTTTCCCTTCTCTGACACCGACCACGGCTTGCCCCCCAACGCCTGCATCATCTCCGATGTCGTTGTCGGCAGGCCGTCGAGAATCCCTACGCTCTGAATATATTGTCACCATTTTCTTCCCTTCACCACTACCGTTACCACCACCAATCAAACCTCCATTGCCACTTTTATGCCTACAAGACGGCGGTTCGACCAAACATAGCAGAGGCAAGCCTAAGGCCTCCAAATCGGTTTTAAAGTTTCAGAAGGCCGGTCTCCAGTTCCCCGACGGCTGTATTGCATGTTTCCTCAAGGAAGGCAAGTACGCTGAGCGCGTCGGTGCTGGTGCGCCTGTCTATCTCTCGGCCATTTTGGAGTATCTTGCCACATAGGTTTATTTCTGACTCTGATTTGGTTTTTGATTTCCCGATTGTGTTTGTGATTCATTGCTTGGGGGGAAATTGGGTGAAAAAGGAAAATCTAGGGTTTCATTTATTGGGCGTTTCTCTTTCTCTCTCTTTGCGTTTGTTTATTTTGTTATTCATCGTATGAATTTTGTATGATTGCTTCAATGTTTGATCAGTGAAAAAGTAATCAAGGTATTAGGACTTTTTGAAGATTTCTAGTCATGATCTACGGAAATATTGGAGAGAACTGCAATTGACTTGAATTTCTTATTTGTTACTACGATGTAAAAGGATGATATTGAAACTTTGGCACAAAAATACTAGGTCTTGAGTTTGAATAATTTTCAATAAAATGTACATTGGAATTTGATGAGAAATACAATGTCAATTGACCGGTTTTGGAGCTTGCTGGGAACGCTACCAGAGACATCAAGAAGAACCGTATTGTTCCAAGGCATATAGACCTCAATGTCCCCTTGAGTTCGCCCTTCTGATCCCTGAGATGGTGATTTGATGCGACGAGTTCTGTGACCGCCATGTGGCGCAGTCGCCGGCAGGGAGAGGGATGGAGTCGCTGTCAAGGGAGAGGCAGTCAACGGTAGGGGGCGACCTCTGCAAATCACAATCCTAGATCTGTCGAGGAAGAGAGAGAGGTTTTTAGTTTTCAATTAATTTTCTATATTTTATTATGTTTTTTAAAATATTTATTATGTTTGAAAAAAGAAAACTCGTGATTTACGAAAATAACCCTTGTAATTGGGTCACGTGAAGGGTCATATGGGTTTTAACGTGGATAATTTGACAGATCTGGACGGAAATGACTTAATTGCATCAATTTAATAACTTTGGGGATCATTTTGCTAAAAAAAATAATAAGAACCAAACTATCACCTACTAAAAAGGTTAGAGACCATCGGTGCCAATTTAAATTTATTATTTATACAACTAAAAAGATTATGGTATCAAAAGCACGCTCGGCGAAAAATTCCAACATTTCTATTTAAATGTAACACAAATCTTTTAATTTCTCAAGTTTTAATCTCTTAAATCTATTTAAAAAAATTGAGAAAGTTATATAAAATAGGGTACATTACAACAATTTTATAAGTTTGGAAGTTGATTGTCAGAATAAAAAATTTAAGGGATAATTTGTTAAAACCACGAAATATTTAGGAGGCAATTATGCTAAAACCATTTATTTTTGAACTTTTTACAATAGGATATTAGAAAGGAAACAAGGGATGTTATTGTACAGTGTCTTTTTTTTTTTCAACGTTAAAATTGTTAAAATTAGTATTTACATATTAATTAAGCATACGTATTGAAGATGTTTGCTGCCGAGTCGAGAAAGGAGAAAAAAATAAATAAATAAAAGGCAATGATGGGCCAGCCAAGGCTCATGCGTCGTCGAGACCCTATGGAAATGAAGAAACTGAAGTGCTCTGTAAAGCACGGATAATCACTAAAACCTAGAGTAGTACCATCGACCAATAAAAACTACACAATGTTAAGACACTGGTAATCAACCAATAAGCTAGAGTAGTATTTTACGCTTGCGCTCAAACCGCGTCCTGGTGTTTTGTGCACAGAATATAATTAAAGATTAAAGATACATCAAGGTAAAAAATTCCCGTTTGTGAGTCCTGCTGAAATTATTGCTTTGGTCAGTAGAAATAAAAGAGTGTATTCATGATGACACCATGTTTAGTTGGGCAAAGTACCAGACAACAAAAGAGGGGGATTTGAACTATATGTTGTATAGTGATTTTAAGTGTGTAATTACCGTTAAAGGATGTAAATGGGTAAGATAGATAAGTATTTTCTTCTTCTTCTTTTTTTTTTTTTTTTTTTTCTGACTGGAATTGCCCCACTAAGTTTATTAAACGGGATGAGACGGTTCAAAATCTAACAGGGTAGGAGGGTTCTGCCCCACCCTTGACCCGTTTAAAATAACTAAAATTAATATTAAGTGAATAAAATAAAATAACTAGAGGAAACTAATGAAATGAAATAAAATGAAATAAAAATGTCTAGTGTTTCAATTTCACCTAATTATGTGATTAATTATCCATTAATCATAGGAGGAAAGAAGAATTTAAAGTTAAGAGAAATCACAAAGTCAAAGGTAAAGGGAATAGGAAAGAAAGGTGATTATAAGTATACAAGGAGAAAGAAAAGGACAGATATTGTTAAGTATTACTTTACTTCTGGTTATGAAATGCAGGTTCTAATTTTGTAATGTACAAGGATAAACTATATTAATATGTGCTAATATGGATTCAACAAGTCTTTGCAATTAACCCAACCCAAGGCCTGAAACAGAATACACAGTGTACAACACTGAACTATTATTCTGATATGAAAAATTACAAGGATAAGTTAAAATAAAAAGAGATTCTCTAGTACGCCTGGCGGATTGATAATCCATGTTTTCTTAACCATTAGATTTATGTACTTTTTAACTTTTACGTAATTTTATGTGTATCTGATGGACAGAAAACTTGACCTACTGGTATGTTGATGTACCAGAGAAGGTCCCTAAAACAAATTAATTGCGTAGATATTTGTGGTACAGATTATGTCCTACCAATGCAAGAAAATTTTTCTTGGCAATATGAACTATAACTCTCTGATGAACAGATTTTGGATCACGGAAAAGTGAAGACTGTTTATAGGAACGAAATGAAAGATGCCCTTATTTTTTTTTTTTTATTATAATAATAATAATAATTATTATTATTATTATTTTTGCTTTTTTTTTTTTTTATTGATAAAGAGCTTCATTGAATACCAGAAATAGTACAGATAAAAAAAAAAAAAAAACAAGGTGTCCTCATGAATCAAACACCAGACAAGTAACAAACAAAACTAACACAACAAGGTGACCATGAAAAGACGCAAATGTAGTTATCTTAAAAAATGTGGTTGCGAAATTGCAACAATATTGTAGCTTTCTATCTGCAACTCAAGGCACAAAGTTGGACCTAGAAGTTCACTGATCACAAGTAACTTCAAACATATCATGAAGCCATACCCGTGTCTTCATTTACACACATTTCAAGAGATTATACTACAGTATATCAACATAATTTACATATAGTGGAAGCTATCAATTAGAAAGTTGTTTTAGATAGTAGAACCAGAAGAGATATTATAACCGACCATCGCAAGTACTTCTCAACTCATTGCAGTGTCATGGAAGCTTTGGTTTCCTATCCAAGTTCAGAAGAATCCAGGTTTTTCACATTGTCGGCTAGTAATAAAATAGATATGAGATGAAATGCTTCAACCAAATCTTGTACAGAATCCAGGTTCTTCACATTGTGTTCTTTAATGTTCTTGTCTTCTTTAATGTTCCGGTTACGATGTTCATGATCCTTGAATGAGAATGTCATGACCGGAAAATTTATCGGAGAAATTATTATATAAGATGAAATTTTGTGAAATTCTTTGTATTATAAATATGAACATTTTTATGATAAGTATTTGTTGATATTACTATTATAATATTCATTACACTTAAAAGTGGCCTATGGAAGCACATTAAAAGCCACATTTGTTCTTCTTGCCTAAGTGTGGCCGACCAAGAAGAAAGAGAGAGAGAGAAAAGAGAAAATCAAGGGAAAATCAAGAAAACAACTGTTTTCGTTGAAATTTCTTCTGTTCAGTCTGGTACAAACATAACCCGAGGCATTCTAGCAGAGAATCTCAACTTCTCAAGGTAAGAATTCAGATTTTTCATGAGAAATTTCATGTTTTCATTTTTTGATGAATAGTAACTCATCTCGGGAAAAATCCGTAAAACAGAAAAATGAAACCGAGGTTTTGTCAAGGACTGTGATAGGACTCTCACATGTAAGTATTGAAACGATTGAACAAAATTTTTTGGATTTGCACTAAAAATCCGAAAAAACCCTAGAAATGGAGGAAATGTGTTTTTGTTTAATTTTATGTTAGAATCTGTGTTCAGGAATGTGAATCATGACTCCATGTACCAAAATCAGAATTAAAATGAGTTATTGAAAACTCGGGAAATGAGAAAAACAAAGTGAAACTCTGCTGCAATTTAGTTTAAACTGAATTTCAAGAGGAATATGGGATTAAAGTGTGAAAAGAAAGATGTTTCGATATTCGGTGGTGGTTAGAAAATCAAACACAACGAGAATTCACAGTTTTAGACCGAAACTGAGAATTAGGCCCATGACTGAGTAACTTGCACGGTTTTAGTGCAAATCCTTGAGATAGGAAATGGTTTGAGATTGAATACCAAACATAAGGATTGTAGACCTTTCCGAAGTAAATTTCAATGTAATTATTGATCTTAGATTTTGAATCCAATGATCGAAAACTTATGCAATAGGATCTATTAACGGTTGAAGTTGGAAAGCATCAAGGGAGACAAAGGACGCGTTGTTAGCAGAACTTTAGTAAGTACAATGGTTTTTCTATGGCTATTTCATGAACAAGCTTACTTTATTATGTTGCACAAAAATTGTGCATATAGCAGAATTTTGAATGTTAGATACAATGTGAATGTTAGATACTATGTTAGTCATTTATCTACAAGACTTATGTAATCGTAGAACTTTATTCTGCAAAAAGTACGTATCGATGTTAAGTCGAGATCAAACTAAGAGAAATGAAAAGTTAAAGTTTAACGAAAAGTTAATCTCATGATAAAATGCTCAATAATGCACAAATTCATAAGATTTAACTAAAGTTACCGTTTCAATGAGAAAATTGATAAACGGTAAGAGACTAAACGTCCTGTTTGTACTAGCCTTCGAAGGAAAGGTTATTATGAGACTGTGAAAGATATGAAACCGTGACTGAGTTGGATTGGTTAGCTACCCCACTCCTCACTGGTTATGCGTACTATGGTACAACGGGATAGAGCCCATAAGAAGTAAAAGACATGAAAATGAAAAATAGAAACCATTCCATATAAAGGTACGGTATCTGTAAAGAAGAATGAAAAGAATGAG